GACATTTTTTAATGTGTTCGGAATCCTGCAAAGCTGAAGATGATAACAATGAGCACAGGGAAGGGGGTAAGACATTGGATGCCAGCTTCCCCCCGTAAGGATGTCTCGGAGAATCTTATCTAAAACATATAGAAAAGGGGTGAAAAATCAAGAATTTCTCCTGTAAGGCACAGATCATCCAAAAAAAGGCAAAAACTCCTTTTTTGTGAAAGGGGCTTCTTTCCCACCTCCCTGTTATTTTTCAAAGAATACCTAGAAATAAACAGTTCTTACTTCCCCAGATACATTGTTTTAAGAAAGAAACTAATAAAGGTGGCAAAGAAGAGAAGGATCAACCATTTTAAATAACTGTCTCTTTCATGTCTAGACTGAACAGACCAGTTCTTGAGAATATTTAAAAGTTTATTGTGGTAGAGCTTGTATGCTACTCGATATGCAAAATAAATTTATCAAAGGTAGGGATAAAAATCTGTTTTTGAAACAAGCTTCTTTAAACTAGTTATAAAACTCCTTTACTGCTATGACTATACTGGTATAAAGTATATTTATACAATGTACACAGTATACTCTATTATTTATACTGTATTAATCTTTTACTTTTGTTAACTTTGAAAAATTAAACAGTAGTCTACTGCCATCTGGTCTACCTCTAAGCTATCATAAATTATTGTGTGCCCAAGAAGTGGAAATTTATTCTAATATTAACCTAAGAAAAAAAGATTATATGTGCATATGGGTATAAGCATAGATATAGGTATAAACATAAGTATATGCAGATATGGATATATGGATATATATTCATATTACATACACAAATTTTCCTTCCCATTAACATAACCAAGAGTTGAGTGTCCAAAGAGAAAGTTGAGTGATATTGTACGTCCTGAGAGAGAGAGACAGAGACAGAGACAGAGAGAGAGAGTGAATGAGTTATGCTACTCTACATGCAGTCTCTGAAACTTTTTTCGAAAATGTAAATTACTCAGTTGACCCACTAGATGGTAGCAAATTCCTGGTTTCTGCATGATTGTAGGCAGCCAACAACTTTTATAACATTCTAAATTCTACCATCAAAACCTTAGTGGAAGAACTTTGCCTTGCTTGTCAAAAAGCCCAAGTTTTACTCTCAGCTCTGCCATTTGCCACCTGTGTGATCTTAGGAAAATGAGTATTTCAGGGTTTGTGATTCCCCGCCATAAAATCAAAGCATGTCTTACGAATCTAAACCGATTAATAGTGTTGCCATAGTAAAAACAAGACACGCTTAAATCTAATGTCCTGTTTTCTACCTTGAACCATTCAAACAGTTTGAGTTTGACAAAAAGAAAAAAATCTATTTTCTATGAGACATTGGGCAATCAGTATTTCGTGGTTTCTTCATCTATAAAATGAGGGAAATAATAATCTATCTTAAAGGCTATTTTAATTATTAAATAACGTATGACAAGTAAAACAGTTAATAAACTTTAACTACTATTATTGGTGGTGGATTTTTTAAAAATTATTACAGTTTTGTCTCACGCCATTCAGACCCCGTCAGACCATTTACAACCCCCTCTCCTGATATTGAAGGGCATAAGCCAGTGGCTATGGGCTGGTTCAGAGTCTGCGAAGAACAGCCATGGGTCCAGAAACACCTCATGGAATCCCCTCTAGTCTAAGTTGCTGCAAAAATTTCCAGGTCTTAGATCTGTAAGTCTAGAAGGAGTCTAGATATTTTGATTTAATCAATTCTCACTAAAATTCCTTGACAGGGCCCTGTAGGGCAACTGTGGTCTGGATTTGCAACTGATGTTCCCTTAGATTCCCCCTTAAAGAGTGAGGAGGCAGCCCGAAGTCCCCAGGTAAGCATGGCGGACTTCCAATCGCAGCAAAAAGCCGCAAAGACCAGCAACTCTGCAAAACACCTAACCTAGACTGCAGAAACCAATGTATTTGGTTCTCCTTGAATGGGCTGTTTATTCACCATAATCATTAATTGTATTGTTTCTACTAAGATATATTTTACACACTGTCTGAATACAGTTGCCAGGTTCTCTTAGGTATTGCTCTAAAGCCTCGAAGACATGAAACGTCAAGGAAGCCAAAGGCACCAAATTGCTGAAGTAAATAAAATTCCTGGGATCCACCCTGATCCCCTGTCCTCATTAGCTGTCATCACGTTTGAAAATATTTGATGCAATAACCTGGCAGAACTGAGGTGAAAAGCAGCGCCAAAACTAGCCGTAGTCGCTACTAGGAACCGTTCCCTTACTCACCCCACCTCTTTCTCCAAAGAGCAGTCATAGAGGTGCATTCTGCTATCTTGTTCTGTGCCACCGGGTGAGCCCAGTCGAGATACCAGAGAATGGTGAGTCAGAGAACATGGCCCAGGCCAGCCAGAGCAGGGCAGGGCAGGAGAACGCAGAACCAGGCAAGAGCGAGGTCTAGAAACATCTCACACCCTTTATCCTTAGACGCCAACAGGGATGAAAATAAGAACCTAAGAGTTAGGTGCACTCCAAGACCCAAGGCTGCCAGAGTTGTTGAGGAAACCAGAAAAGCGTGTGGGTACCACCTGGATGAGGCAGTACCAGGAATCTGTTCCCTACACTGCTGGTTTTTATCCAGGTGCCTCTGGACTTTCGAAATGGCAAATAAGACTAAAAAAAAAAAAAAAAAAATTTTATCCAGGTGCCTCTGGACTTTCGAAATGGCAAATAAGACTAAAAAAAAAAAAAAAAAAAATCATTCTTAAATGCATATCCCACATTTAGGAAGCGTAATGAATACCAATAAAAGAAAGGGGAAAAGAAAAAAAGGCTGACCTCTAATTACGAGTTCTTCAGCTCAGGGAACATTCTGCAGATACGAACCAACTGCTACTTGCTACACTGTGAGTTCCTTAAGGGCAGAGACCAAACCTGGCCTGTCCCGTTTATCACCAGCGATCAGTCTGATGCCTGCCACACGTATGTTCTCAATGCCCTTGTTACTGTTGTCGTGGGTGGCACAGCTGAGTATATTCCACAGTGAAAGCTTATGATATCGTCCTGCTAAGTGACGAAAGTGTAGGATCATAAACCTCTACCTCTAACCCTCTCCTGACCTCCAAGCCGAACATGTATGTTGAGTACATGAAAGAGCTCAACCACCCCAAACAGCAACTAAGTCCAGGATATAGGCTTCAAAGGAACATAAACTCCCTGTGTGCCTGTTGCTGTTGGTGGCTGACACCCCAAACACCGCTCCGGCTAACAGTGAGTTTAACAGAATTGCTCTGTGAATAGGGTGTGACAGGCTAGAAGTCACAAGAACTATGCCCTAAGCCTAGTCTTGGCACCTACTAACTGTGGAACCTGGGGCACGTCATTCAACTTTGTTTGCTCTTCTTTTTTTATAAGTTATATTAATTGTCTCTAATGACCATTTCAGGGCTAATATTCTGATTCTAAGCTGAACGTCAAGAAGAGAAAATTGGATTCAACAGGGCCAGCCAGAGTTCCTGATCTTTGTAAATTCCCACAGTCTTTTCCTCTCCCTAATCCACATACTTTTCACTGTGTGAATAACTAAACTGCTTACGGGAGATTAACTGGTAATATAAATGCAAGGAATATTCCAGAAAATTACATGTAATCGTCTTTTTGTGAACTTTAGAGC